CTGGGCCAATTGTGCGCTGCCCCATGGGTCTCCCGGTCGCGGCCGGTTACGACAGAGCCTCGATACGAACCAGGATCTCTAGTGGCACAGCTAGCACTGCGCTGCAGTGCCTTAGACCACTGCGCCACTCGGGGCCATTTTATTTTACTTCGGCTCTTTTTTTCTCAACACTTTTTTGTTGTTTTATTCTACTTTTTTATAAAAAATAAATGCACTGTTGGTTAAGGGCTGTAAGTAAGCATTTCACTGTAATGTCTGCACCTGTTGTATTCGGCGCATGTGGCCAATACAATTTGATTTGATTTGATTTTACACACAATAAAAAAATAAAAATCAGAGACCCAGCTCATGAGCTCCATCTGCTACGGGTTTTAATTTAGAATGTAAAATGTATGTATTTACACAACAAATATGAGTGCATTGGATCATTAGGCATCGAACCCAATCGCATCGTTCCTCTAATCAAACCGAATCAAACGATAGTTTCAAAATAAAACATATCGTTCCTGTATCGTATCAGAGCCCATGTATCTAGATCTGAATGGAATCACATTGAGAGGGAAAGATGCACATCCCCAGGGGTCCCATTAGCTTTCAAAAGTCTGCATCTTCAAAACACAGACCCTAAACAATCTGCGTTTTATCAGATTTCACCTGCGTTCTAATTAAACAAACTGATAATAAATACATACTCAGTGTTCTAGAATGCAGGGAAATACAGGTCAGTTCAAGAGGGTACAATGTGAAAACTCCTATGTCATTATAATAATAATTAATCTGAGGGATATTTTAGCCTCAATATGCTTGTACTCGATAGAGTTGATGAAATAAGAACGCTATAGGTGCGTTGGAAAAATGACAAGCACTCAACACGCATCCGATTAATTCATTATGAATAGGATTTGGTATTTTATTAGGATCCCCATTAGCTGTTGCAAAAGCAGCAGCTACTCTTTCTGGGGTCCACATGAAACATGACATAATACAGAACATTAATAGACAAGAACAGAACTACATACATTATTTGATTATTCTTTTACATTATTCATTGTAACCACGTGACAAATACATCGAATTCTGGTTCGAACTTTAGCAAACGAACTAGCCTACTGTGAAAACTGACAGATTACATTGGCGACATACATTTTGCGCAAATGTGCGCACACCTCCCTCAGTTGCGCTCTATTTTCTCCCTTCGGCACCCTGGTCAAAAATGGCGTGTGCCCTAGCAAAATCAAATTTTCGGGACTCCGGTGCTCCCATCGAAATGGTCATTAATGTCTAAGTGACCATTGCCTATGCAGGACCATTTCTTCGTCAGAATTCAGTTCTGGCAGGTTAATCCCCTTTCAGCAGGAACACTGGACAAGGGGAGGACCACAAGAGAGCTGAGCGTGCGCTGGGAACACGTCTGCAAACTCTTGAATGAGAGCCCTGCATGCTTCTGCCATTGTTCTGTAGCCCTGGTGTTTTAATACATGTTTCACCTGGGGAAGAAAAAGGGGTTGTTATTGCAAGAAGCCATCACTGCATTTAATAAATGATGTAACAATTACAACGTGGACTGTGGAAACTGTGCTCCAATGGAAGGGGATGGAGGCTTGTGTGTGTGTGTGTGTGTGTGTGTGTGTGTGTGCACAAAACCATGTATTAAACACGTATTAGTCACACGTATTAGTCACATTATTAAACATCAATTGCTCATTAAACAAAAAATGTGTATTGCTATATGTTGATGTAACACTTACAACAGGAATTGTTGAAACTGTGCTGTGTGTGTCTTTGTTTGTGTGTGTGAGGCGCATGGGAAAGAGAGAACAGAGAATGCACCAATTTGCCTTTTAAACAAAAACATTTTAGCATAAACAGTCATGACACTTGCACTGTCGCTGCCCAGGCCCACCACATTCTTAAAATCAATACCCTTTGATTCAAATGTTGCTAGAATGGCATTTGTGATTGTTTCGGCATCTCCATGCGGTATCATTACATTTGCTAAGAACACAGTCATCGCCTGGCCCTCATGCACATACTGTACCTCACGAACATCACAAGTTTCTTCTCGACTGCAACTGTCACAGACTCGTATATGATTATTCCAACATACGGACTACGTTCTATTTCCGGTATGTCCTTCTCAGTCAGTGTTTGACCTATGGCGTTCTGCATTTACGCAACGCTGGAGTGATGTGTGTAGGAGGTACCTGACTGAAGGGAAGGGCAGCCCTTTTCTTTATGCAACTCTTTCAACACTGGAAACTTGCTGTCTGGTATGTCCTCTTTTGCCATACAGTATACAGTCACACAGTTTTGGAGTCGTTTGTTTGCTTTTCTGCCTCTTCCAATGTTACTCAAATTTCATTTTGTAAGTTCTGAAGTAACACTGCATCCCAGTGGTCACTCTGCTCTGTGTGGCATTGTAATGCACTTTTCTGATATGTTGCGCAGCCAATGGTGAATGAATTATTTTCCCCACACTTCTCACATAAAGAGCTAAACATACGTGTCCCTGACACACCATCTACTACTTTTCCTTCACGTGAAGCCATCTAAATTCTCCCTTCCATTCTTCTCTGTATTGCGCTTGCCGTTTCTGTGGCCCATTAGCATTAGCTGCAGAATTCTTCTCTACCCTGGCTGTCTCTGCAGTCTCTGTCACATTCTCCGTCACATTCTCCGTCACAGTCTCTCTCAGTCTCGGTCTCACTTTCATTTCAAATTGCGGAGGGGTTAAATAACCCTAGTAGGGTTCTTTGTGTTAATTGACTCGTCATTGTTCATGTTGACTAGCCATTCCATTCAAGCTTTTTCCTTTCAAAATTCACACGGTTTAAACATAATCTAGCAACAAAAATGCCACTGACAGCTAATGTGCCTATTTATATTATAACACCTAACCCTGGTTCAGTATGTCAATTATGGCAAGCAAGACTATTAGCTTGGCCCCTTTAGGCAGAGTCCAATGTAGTGGTCCAAGTACGGCAGCTGCATTCTCACCTCCGGTGGCTGGCCCTGCAGATGGAGGAATGCTCAGGGAGGGCCTGCCTGGCCACGACACGCTCTTCGGGGTGGTCCTCTGTAGCTCAATTGGTAGAGCATGGCGCTTGTAACGCCAGGGTAGTAGGTTTGATCCCCGGGACCACCCATACGTAAAAATGTATGCACACATGACTGTAAGTCGCTTTGGATAAAAGCGTCTGCTAAATGGCATATTATTATTATTATTATTATTATACCAGAGATCCTCCAGTTCACAGGGGTGGGCTGGGCATATGGGCGTCTCATCTTGGGCTGCACTGCCAGGAGAGGGTGTTTGGAGAAGCTCTAGAGCTGGAAGCGCTGGTTTGTGGGGGATACTGTTGGATAGAAGATGGGGCATGTTCAATGCTAATGCACTGTAAAAAATGAAGTATTGAATCTATACCGAACCAAAAAATATAAACGCAACATGAAACAATTTCAATTTTTTTACTGAGTTACAGTTCATATGAGGAAATCAGTCAATTGAAATAAATAAATTAGGCCCTAATCTATGGATTTCACATGACTGGGAATACAGATATGCATCTGTTGGTCACAGATGTAAAAAAAAATAATAATAATAATAAAAGGGCCTTCGGATCTCATCACGGTATTTCTGTGCATTCAAATTGCCATCGATAAAATGCAATTGTGTTCGTTGTCCATAGCTTATGCCTGCCCATACCATAACCCCACCGCCACCATGGGGCACTCTGTTCACAACGTTGACATCAGCAAACTGCTTGCCCACACAACGCCATACACGTGGTCTGCAGTTGTGAGGCCAGTTGGACGTACTGCCAAATTCTCTAAAACGACATTGGAGGCGGCTTATGGTAGAGAAATTAACATTCAATTCTCTGGCGACAGCTCTGGTGGACATTCCTGCAGTCAGCATGCCAATTGCACGCTCTCTCAAAACTTTAAACATCTGTGGCATTGTGTTGTGTGACAAAACAGCACATTTTAGAATGGCCTTTTATTGTCCCCAGCACAAGGTGCCCGTGTGTAAGGTCATGCTGTTTAATCAGCTTCTTGATATGCCACAATATTATTGAGTAGATGTAATTCCCTATGTTTTTGACAAAAATTTGAATAAGTTGTTTGAATTGACAAATAAAGTAAGTCCAGGGAATTCATAATAGCCATACAATTGTTGGATTTACTGATAATATGGTTAAATAAGTTGATGATTCAAATATTTAGTAAACCCAACATATTAGTGTTTCACAAACACTTAATGTATAACATTGTTGAATGTATATTTGATCATTTGCAATTTTAATCCACTTTGGCAGGCATTGTTGAGCTCAGTGCTCAATCCACCAGCAGTAAATGGCCATACAATTGCAAGCATTGTAGGACACTACATTTATCTCAGTCATTAAGAGTGGGGATGGTGGGAATGGGTGGTCTTGAACGTAAATTTGCTTGACGGTTTTGATATTCGTTCATCATGATCCATTACACCTCATGGTACAACAAGCTGCTTAATACTAGTATAGAAATATAGTTTTCTTTCTTCAAACATGCATACAACATTGGGTAAAATAATCATAAAGTATAAAAGTGTTGAATTACCCACAATCCTCTAAAAACAGAACCACGTGGCAAGTTGTTGCAAGAAATGTAATTATTAAGTAGATATAAATATTACATTCAGTAAATTAAATCACTTAAAATACATTTTAGCAACATATTAAGTTGAATTGACTCTTAATTTTTTGTAAAATGAAATGAACAAATCATTGAAAGGATCATTGCATTCATTTTTATTAAGTATACGTTGGCAGTTGTTTTTCGTCAATTTCAATTCACCCCTGAATCATATTTGTACAGTGTGGGCTAGATTAGGAAGATTAACACAGCTTTGGTATTCTAATCAACTTCAATGTTGTACAATTTCCCACTCCAGATGCTTAGGATAAAAATGTACATCCCAATTTCAGCACCTTTCCACACTGCAAGCAGACAACGATCTAGTTGGCTTCATGATCTGAGGGGCATCAGGGGATGAAACCACTTTGTAGGAAAGACAGAGATAAATACGTTTACATTTTTTGCGAGCAAACAATTCTGAGCCTTTCCATGTACATACACTAAGACAAGCCAGCGATCTGTAGAAGCTGCTCATTGTTAGCCAACAGTTGACCAATCCTCACCTTCCGACCTCATCTTGAACTGACTAGTTGGGGTTGGAGCAATGAACGCCTTGAGTTTGGGGTTGCCCCTGATGACGTGCTCCGTCTTCACTGAAGTTGAGGTGGGGATGTTGGGCACAGAGGACATTCTCTCCATGTCCCTCTTGGCTGGGTTCTGGTATAAGGGGGTGGCTGTGGCCGCCGGTTCAACACTCTTCATAGGGGTGGCCTGAACCGGTTTAGACTGATCTGGCTCTGAAGGTTTCCTTCCCTGGGCTGAGATGGAGCGGCGTGCTACTGTGGTGGAGGGCGGCTCCGGAGCTTGGCCGATGAGGGTGGACCTGAGGGTCTTGGTGGCAGGTCGGCTCATGCCGGTGGGCAGGCGGCCATTAAGGCCACTCATGCTGGAGTTGAGGGACGTTTTGAGTTCACCTAAAATCTGAACAGGACATTCATGTTTCAACATCTGCCATTTTATCAGACGGCATTCACATCTTTTATCATCTGATCTGAAGTGTCATACATATGAATGAAGGATCCTGTATAAACATCAGTTTCTTGATTATATTAGCAAATCCCTCCGTGTTACCTTGCTAGGGGGTACGAGGGTCCTCTTCCCCTGCAGACTGGAGTTGAGTGAGGTGTCGCTGATGTCGGAGGCAACGCTGGCTGTGTCAGAGAGGAGGTCCTCACTGGAGGCTGCTCTGCTGGAGTTACGACCACCCGGGGCTACGCCTCAATCCCAAGTTACCCTGAAACAAACAAACTACATAGGATGAGAAAACTTTCTCCTATATTGATTTGACCTTAACCTAGATAATTAAAATTTGCTATATTTGGCTACTGGCTAGATATCTTCTAAGATCCCTAGTGCCCATACTTTGCTTGGCGGAGGCAGCATGGTGGTCCTCTCAGCAGGTGGTCTAGTCTTGGCAGTATGCAGGGCTGTCTTCATGGTCGCTACTCGGGCTGCTGGTTGTTGTTTGCTAGGTAGCACCCTGGTGTTGCAGGCATTCCCTGCCTCTGAGCACCATCTTGGGCTGAGTTGTAGTCCCTGCTCTCACAGGGCTGGAGGTGCTAACACGTCTCTTAGTGGAGTTAGAAACCCCACCAGCCCTTAAAAGCCGCTGCTGAATAGCAGGAGGGAGCTGCTTCAACGGACGGTCCTGGACACAGAAGGTCTCCCTTTTGATAGGGCTGAGCACAGCGTCAACTGGCTTGCTGAACATGCCCAGTTTGGCTCCAGCATCCAGCACAAAGTCCTCTTTCGGTTCCTCCTTACTCACTGTGAGGTTACCATTGGTTTCGCCTACATCTGGGTGCTGCTGGTTGATTACTAGTTGACTGGCTAGTAGGTGGGCTTCCTTGCAGATTTCCTCAAACTTGTCCCCAGCCAAAGGACTCCAGCTGGGCCACTCCCCCATTGAAGACCCACGGCTAACGCTTTCCTTGACAATGGTCTCCAGACCGAACGACACGACATGCACCTTCCCTTGTGACGGACAGGCCCCACAAAGACCTCGTCATCATCTTCATCGCCTCTTGAGCTTTAAACAAGGGGGAATTATTTTACAATGTTATTTTCATATGTAAGTGAAGCACAATTTCCCAAGTAAAAATGTATTGACAATGGTAGTGTCAGGTACACAGACAGATTGTGTTCAATGGCAATGCATTCAAGGTAGAAATATATGCAAACCAAAGACAAAGAAATGGAAATCAACGATAGCTATGACACCAACCTGGCAGGTGACAGTGAAACGTCAAAATCAAACTTATTTTCAGCCAATGAGAATAATTATTGTGGAAAATGAACAAGTCAATTAATACAACATTTATTAATTTGATAGGAAGGACAGTGTTTATCTCGCTACTAAAGAGTCGACAATGTAAATATCAATGACAAATAATATAGTTAGCTAGCTAGTAGTCGGATTAATCAGGCTGCAATATACAATTAATTGGTATAGGGAGGAGGTCTGAGACCTGGCCGTGTGGTGCCAGGACAACAACCTCTCCCTCAACGTGATCAAGACAAAGGAGATTATTGTGGACTACAGGAAAAAGAAGAGGACCGAGCACGCCTCTATTCTCATTGACAGGGCAGTATTGGAGCAGGTTGAGAGCTTCAAGTTCCTTCGTGTCCACATCACCAACAAACTAACATGGTCCAACCACACCAAGACAGTCGCGAAGAGGGCATGACAAAACCTATTACCCCTATGGAGACTGAAAAGATTTGGCATGGGTCCTCAGATCCTCAAAAGGGTCTACAGCTGCACCATCGAGAGCATCCTGACTGGTTGCATCACTACCTGGTATGGCAACTGCTCAGCCTCCGACCGCAAGGCACTACAGAGGGTAGTGCGTACGTCCCAGTACATCACTGGGGCCAAGCTTCCTGCCATCCAGGACCCCTATTGTCAGACTCAAGCCACTCTAGTCAGATTGTTCTCTCTGCTACTGCACGGCAAGCGGTAACGAAGCGCCAAGTCTAGGTCCAAGAGGCTTCTAAACAGCTTCTACCCCCAAGCCATAAGACTCCTGAACATCTAATCAAATGGCTGCCCAGACTATTTGTATTTTTTGGTGATTTGTTTTTGGTATTCTTTCTTAAACTGCATTGTTGGTTAAGGGCTTGTAAGTAAGCATTTCACTGTAAGGTCTACACCTGTTGTATTTTGCGCATGTGACAAATAACATTTGATTTGATTTGATATATACAACCTGAGACATTGTGTGCAAAATTGTGGAAATATTCCTTATGAGCCAGAATGTTTAATAAAATTACATTTAAACCTACTCTACTGGTTGTCTGTGTGGTTTGTCTTTCAGCTGCTCAAGACAATTTGAGACAAAATACCCACATGATAGTATTATTTCTACACGTTGTAGCTAGCTATCTTCTGCTGAATCATGTCACTTTGGTGGATATTTCAAATTTCGTAAACAAAGAAGTGGTCGTCACTAATTACCACAGACACAAAGTCATAAACCCTGCCTATTTCTACAATTTATCTTCTTAAAATGTGATTTTAAACATAACCTTGATCCTAGCCACACTGCTAACCTTATGCCTAACCTTAAATTAAGACCAAAAAATGATTTTTTTGTTTTCATAAATGTTTACGATATAGCCAATGTTTACTCTGTGGCTGTGGTAACTAGCGGAAACCCAAACAAGTTCATGTGACATGCAGGCTGCATCGTCATTGGCTGAAACGTCTGGCGGAAGCAGCACCAGAGCGCTCATGGGAACTGTAGTCATTTTGCGCTGTATCCTTGGTCAAGAACAGAGGGATAAAGTAAAGACAAATACTTTTGTTTTGGGGGGTATCTGTACTTTACTTGAGTATTTATACTCTTAACTACTTTTAGTTTTACTCAACTAGCTACATTCCTAAAGAAAATGTTTACTTTTTTTTTTACTCCCATTCATTTATTTTCCCTGGAATACTCATGTAGGAAAGAAGTAGTCCCAGGGCTCATTTGAGTCGTAAGGTTTAAGCAACCGACTGCAGACGAAAGTCGAGGAGTAAAGTTGGGGGAGGTGCATCTGCGACAGCTAAAGTCGGAAACTTACGTGGTTTTCCAACAGCAAGGCTCAATGCAACATTGCAGTGTTGCCATTGTTTATAAACGTTTTTCTTTGTAATGTCAAAATAAACATGTCTCCAACCCTCATATCACACACTCACCGGCCATTTTATTAGGTGTTCACGAAAATTGATCACTCCTACAGACAGTGAGTCACGTGGCCGTGGCTTGCTATATAAAGCATGCAGACAGACATCGAGGCATTCAGTTACTGTTCGATTGAATGTTAGAATGGGCAAATTAGTGACCAAGACTTTGAGCGTGGTATGATTGTCGGTGCCAGGCACACCGGATCCAGTATCTCAGAAAAGGCTGCGCTCCTGGGCTTTTCACGCACGACAGTGTCTAGGGTTTCCAGAGAATAGTGTGACAAACAAAAAACATCCAGTCAGTGGCAGTCCTGTGGGCGAAAACAGCTTGTTGATGAGAGGGGTCGAAGGAGAATGGCAAGAATCGTGCAAGGTAACAGGCAGGCCACAAACAGACAAATAACAGCGCAGTACAACAGTGGTGTGCAGAACGGCATCGTGGGGCTACTGCAGCAGAAGACCACACCAGGTTCCACTCCTATCAGCTAAAAACAACAAGAAGTGACTCCAGTGGACACTGGACAATTGAGGAGTGGAAAAACATTGCATGGTCCGACGAATCCCAGTTCCTGTTGCGTCATGCTGATGGTAGAGTCAGGATTTGGCTTATGCAGCATGAGTCCATGGACCCATCCTACCTGGTGTCAACAGTACAGGCTGGTGGCAGTGGTGTACCACTGTCCAATCTGCAGCAACGTGATGCCATTACGTCAGCATGGACCAACATCCCTGTGGAACATTTCCGACTTGTAGAAACCATGCCCCGAAAAACTCAGGCTGTTCTGGAGACAAAGAGGGTCCGAACCAGTACTAGATGGATGTACCTAATAAACTGGTCAGGAGTGTATGTGTGTACAATGTACTATCAATTTAGTTGGTGAGAGAGCGTCAAATATCACATTAATTTGTACATTGAAGTCTATACATGAATCAAGGCAAAGTTTGTTCCTGTTTCATCACGTCTTTGTCAGGCTCACGTGGGTCAAACAGAAGCACCCTAATGATTGGTTGACAATTGAGCCTCCCACAATGCAGGTTCTGGCTGTAGGATGAAGTTGATGTAGAGCAACTGCAGAAACTTGCAGTCAAAACTTCATGACCTTTGATCACATGTTTTTTATAAAGTTCATGCAGTTGTCATGTAGGCGTAAGTCTGACAATTTTTATCCCCATAATGCAACACAATTTGGAAGGCGGTGACCGATGGCCCCCGAAATGACAAAAGTGATCCGCTTGAAGGCGCCCCCATTCACACGATAATCAAGAGAATGGCAATGATCCCTTTTGTTTCACCTCTGACATAAATGCTGCATTGGTAAATGGCATCTGAGGCCTTTTCTCAATTCGATTTGCTCAACTCCTGCGTCCTCTCTCCATCCTCTCTCGCCTTCTTTTGAAAAATGTCAAAGGTTCTCAAGGAGAGGCGCAGTGGAGAGTGATGAAAATGAGCTTGTATGAAATGAGAAGCTCCTTCTCCACTCGCGCGTCATCAGGTAAATTACGTTTACAGGGTGGATCGCAAAATAAATGTGTAAAGTGATAAAACAAATTACGTTAGTTGTGCAAGATATTTTATAGATAAAAGGATAAGTAGTATATTGTCTTTAAATGTGTGCATGCTTTTCTCATCCGACAAAACAACAGCTCAATCAAAGGCGGTGTGGCAGATATCAACTCTTCCATGGTAGGGTACACTTGTGCTTCCTCGTCAAAAGGAGGACTATTGAGGAGGGGAGGACCGTCTTCCGTTTGCCTACTAACGAATTGACACCCTCCTCGACCACTCAACCACTTGTCGTCTGGGTCATGGATGAAAGAGGACGGAGGAGAGAGGACAGAGGCTGGACTTTTGCCCAAACGAGAAAAGGCCTGAGTGTTGGAGTAGCCTACCTATTTGAGTATAGAGAGCAATAGCGTCTTTTTGTAGACACTAACTCCGCCATGGTTCATTGGTAAAATGGATAACGCCGAAAATGAGGTCTCTGGCAACGGCATTTCTGGGATTTTAAGAAATTCTGGGATTAGCCCAAAGCAATTAGGGGGGTCAAAAGTAACATTGAAAAGTAGTCATCAATATAATTTATATAAAAACACAGATACCCAGACCCCAAACATTATGTATGTATTTGGTGCACTTTGAGATGAACATTGAGAGATTAGAACATTGAGAGATTAGATATTTTTCAGGTAATTTGCACTTTCCCACCTGCAACAGCAGACACTGACATGTCATATACAGGTCATCTTTTCAAAATTCTTCAAGCTCTGTCAAATTGGTTGTTGATCATTGCTAGACAACCATTTTCAGGTCATGGCAAATATTTTCAAGTAGTTTTAAGTCAAAACTGTAACTCGGCCGCTCAGGAACATTCACAGTCTTCTTGGTAAACAACTCCAGTGTAGATTTGGCCTTGTGTTCTAGGTTATTGTCCTGTTGAAAGGTGAATTCATTTTCCAGTGTCTGGTGGAAAGCATACTGAACCACGTTTTCCTCTAGGATTTTGCCTGTTCTTAGCTCCATTTCTTTTTGATCCTGAAAAACGTCCCAGTCCTTAACGATTACAAGCATACCCATTACATGATACAGCCACCATTATGCTTGAAAATATGTAGAGTGGTACTCAGTAATGTGTTATATTGGATTTGCCCCAAACATAACACTTTATAACAATGTATGCAGGACAAAATGTTAATTGCTTTGCCACATTTTTTTTTGCAGTATTACTTTATCATCAAAT